TTTTTTAGCTAGGGCTGGGTTTGAACCCACCACCTCCAGTGTATGGGGCTGGCGCCCTACTCCTTGAGCCATAGGTGCCATCCTGTTTTCTCATACACACACACACACACACACACACACACACACACACATATGTATATATGTGGGGATTTTTTGGCTAGGGTTTGAACCCGCCACTTCCGGCATATGGGGCTGGCACCCTACCCTTTTGAGCCACAGGTGCCGCCCCTGTTTTCTCATATTTTAAGTAGGGATAGGATGGGTCCCCCTCATATGGTTGTTCTAAGAGAAGAAGGAAAACCACATGCACAGTGAGGGGGCAATAAAGATGCTATCAGGGTTTTCAGGAGGATGGGCCACCAAAGGTGAGGATGTTTCACATCTGGTGTCAACAGCTCAGAGAAACTAGCTGTCCAGTCTGTGCTCACCTGGATAGAGCGATCAATCACTCGGCAGGCCATGGATGGGGCTACCATTTTAATCATGGCTATATCCAAAGCTGCAGCCTGAAAGGAGAGGAGAAGAGGTGGTTGTAAAAGACTTGAGGGCAGAATGCTTGGAAGAACAGTCAGATGCACAGAGAGAAATAAAACACATGGGCTTAAAACAGACGCTCTGCAATTTCAAGGGGTATCAGCTGGAGGGTAACTCAAGATGTCCTAAGAGAAGGCCAGGGATGGTGGCTCAACCCTATAATCACAGCACTTTGGAAGGCTTAAGTGAGAGGATCCCTTGAAGTCAGAAGTTAGAGACTAGCTGGGCAACACAGTGAGATTCCATCTCTACAAAAACTTAAGAAAAAATCAGCCAGGTATGGTGGTATATACTTAGTCTCAGCTACCCAGGAAGCTGAGGCAAGTGGATCTTTTGAGCCTAGAAGTGGAAGGATGCAGTGATCTATGACTGTGCCACTGCACTCCAGCCTAGGTGACAGAGTGAGACCTGGTCTCTAAAAATACAAAATTTCTATAATCCTAGCATTCTGGGAGGCCAAGGTGGGTGGACTGCCTGAGCTTAGGAGTCTGAAACCAGCCTGAGCAAGAGCAAGACCCCATCTATAAAAAATAGCTGGGCATTGTGGATGAAGTGAGCTATGATTGCACCTGTAGTTCCAGCTACTTGGAAGGCTGAGGCAAGAATTTGAGGTTGCTGTGATGCCATGGCACTCTATCCAGAGAGACAAAGTGAGACTCTGTCTCAAAAAAATAAATAAATAAATTTTTTTAATTATTATTATTTTTTTTTGGAGACAGAGTCTCACTATGTTGCCCTTGGTAGAGTGCCGTGATGTCACAATTCACAGTAACATCAAACTCTCAGGCTTAACCGATTCTCTTGCCTCAGCCTCCCAAGTAGCTGGGACTACAGGCACCCGCCACAACACCCAGGTTTTTTTTTTTTTTTTTTGGAGTTGTCATTGTTGTTTAGCAGGCCCAGGCCGGGTTTGAACCTGCCAGCTCTGGTATATGTGGCTAGGGCCCTAATCACTGAGCTATGGGTGCCAAGCCAATAAATAACATTTTTTAAAAAGATGTCCTAAGATGTGAGGCAAATACCCGGTAAGGGACAGATCTGAAGATTTAGAGGGGGTGTGACTTGTCAGCTCCATCTCCAAGCCACAGTGAACCAAGGCCAGCCCAGAGCTGAAGAAAATGAGTTGTAAGGATCTGCCCTGGGTGGGGGTGTTCAAGAGGCACCTGAGAGCCTCCACTACATCTAGCATGAGGACATCAAACAGAGAATTGTGAGCCTGCGTTGTCCCCTCAATGCCTCAATGGTGAGACTCTTGGGAATGGAGGCTGCCCTACAAAAAGCTGGACAAAGCAGGGTCAGCAGAGGCATCATCTCTGGTCAGCTTGGGCATAGTGTCTGGCTATCACAGGCATTTAGGAAGAGCCTTTCTTTCTTTTTTTTTTTTAATTTAAGAAACAAGGTCTCACTCTGCCACCCAGGCTTAAGCGCAGTGGTGTAATCATAGCTCACTGCAGCCTTTAATTCTTGGGCTCTAGTGATCCTCCTGCCTCAACCTCCTAAGTAGTGGGTCTACAGATGCTTACTACCATGCCTGGCTAATTGGATCTTGCTATGTTGCTCAGGTTGGTTTAAACTCTTAGCTACAAACAATCCTCCTGCCTTAGCCTCCCAAAAATGCTATGGTTACAGGCATGGGCCACCATGTCCAACCAGAAAGAGCTTTAATTAAAGAAATTGGGCAGCGCCTGTGGCTCAAAGGAATAAGGCACCAGCCCCATATGACGGAAGTGGCAGGTTCAAACCCAGCCCCGGCCAAAAAAAAAAAAAAAAGAAAGAAATGACACAATACCCAGGTGCCGTGGCAGGTACTTGTAGTCCCAGCTACTTGGTAGGCTAAGGCAAGAGGCTCACTTGAGCCCAAGAATTTGAAGTTGCTGTGAGTACCAGCAATGGTACTCCACTGAGGGCAACAAAGTGAGACTCTGTCTCAAAAAAAAAAGACACACTTTTTGTATCAAAAGCTTCTATTTTGGCTAATTCTATATTTGGATTAAGGCCAGGAGAGGGTCCCTTTTCCCTTCCTACTCTTTCTTTGCCTGATACCTGTACCATCATGCCCCCAGAGGGCAGGCCTGACTGGAGTCCACATCTCAACCTAAGAAGTTCACCTGGTCAATAAAATATAAACATTGATCTTTTTTTATTGTGCCTTTTTATTTTTATAAAACTGCCCAAATAGTTCTAAGTAGAGTTAAAATACAGATTTCAGTGTCAAGAAGCTCCTTCCCCAGGGTTTGCTGAATGTTTCTCTTGTGACCTCTGGGCCTCTGCCATCTGGGAACCTCTCCCAGGTACCCTCTGCCTCCTACCTTATTTCCTGCCACATCCATAAGGTGAGCAGCTTTCAGCACAAGCAGCCGGGCCTGCTCGATCTCCACACGTGACTGGGCAATATCTGCCAGCACTGTGCCCTGCTCCACCAGGGGCTTCCTGAAGGCCACGCGGGACTTCACCTGTCAACACAGAACACACAGGGCCGGGGAAACATTGGCCTCAAGAGACATGGGGCTAGTGGCCTGCAGAAGCAGGTGGGAGGAAGCACAGACAGGAGAGAGCAGGAGAGGAAACCAAAAGCCAGATAGTATGGCTCATCTGCCAAGTTGCCATTAGGGTTTGGACATGAGACATGTGCAACAGAGGGAGCCCAGCCACAGCCCATGTGGTGCCTGTAACAAATTACTTCTAACCCTTTATTCCAGCAATTCCAGCCACCTATGGGCAGGACCAACTGGCAGGGAATAGTTCTTTTCCATTTGAGCCAGCATCTGGCTGAAGGCTACTGCTGGGCGCTTCCCACGGCACACGGGGAGGGCGCCCCCTGCCGGCCATGGTCGAGCATCCCACCCAAGCTCTGTGGGGAGCCCAGAGCCTCTCTGTGGGAGACCTTATCTGCTGCTACATATTGGGGTTTCGAACTCAGAACGGTACAAGGCATGAGAATAGTTCTAAGTATTCTTTTCTTTCTTTTTTTTTCTTTTTTTTACTAAAAATGATTTTTACACAAATAATATATCTCATGTTCTACCCATTTCCAGAACAAAAAAAGAGAAGAAAATTATAAAACACCTAGCATGCCACCTTCTAGTCACCTACAGTTAATATTTGGTGGATATCTTTGTAGACTTTTCGTACATACATATAGAAATATACACATTTTATTCCCCAAAAATAGAAGTCATAGTCTGTATACTGCTCTGTCACCTGCTTTAAAATTTAAGAGTATATAGGGAACATCTCTCAATGTTAGAAATAGATTTGCACAGCATTGTGGATTCGCTGTGTGTCACCTTTTTTTTTTTT